GCCCCGACGCACTGGGAAGAAGACCCAACCATGCACATTCACAAACATTTTTCCTAAAACTCTGGACCCTTAAATCTTCTGGACTGAACATCTGACAACAAAAGCCGGTTCCTGTAAGTTTCTCGATGTTCACAGAAATCGGCTAAACACACCAAGGACCAAGGGCAGGGCCCTGAGAGTTTTCCATTCAGCTCCCTTTTGGCATCTCAGTCAGCATCTATTGCTGCTCCCCAAGGTCCAGTTGCATGGACCACTTGTCTTGTTGCCTGCTCATCTCACTGCTTTGTCCTCCACCCTCCTCGCCTGACCTCTTCGGTCTGAACTGCCTACACACACGTGAACACTCTCATGCACTAGTGAAGGTACTCCTCATCCCCTCATGATGCTGACAGCCCAGTGAAGCCTTTCTGCTTTCTTTCAAAGGTGTCCTGACAGAAGTTGGATTTCCAAGCCCTGGGAAAATCTAAGATTAAAACCAAGCACACGCTGGGCACAGTGGTGCACGCCTGTAATCCCAGCGTCTCAGTAGGTGAAGGCAAGAGGATCATAAGTTCAAAGCCAACCTGAGCAATAGTAGGGCGTTAGGCAACTCAGTGAGACCCTGTCTCTAAATAAAATATAAAAATAAGGCTGGGGATGTGGCTCAGTGGTTAAGCACCCGAGTTCAACACCGAATACCAAAAAAAAAAAAAACAACAAGCACACACCATGCTCTCAAGAAATCCTCAGCATAGAATTTCTTTTCTGGAAGAAAAAGGCAAGGAGTGGGGCCACCCCCACTGGCAAGAGTACATCCCCCAAAGGCCTCTTTTGCTCTTCCTTCTCAGGAGCCCCCAAAGTCTGCCATGCCTCTGTCCTAGGTGGGCCAAGGCCCTGGGGACAGTGTCCTCTCTTGCAGAGCAGAGCTCTGATCACCCTATTTCTCTCACCTGCTGGTATCCTTTGGGGCCTTTCCAAACAGCAGCTTATGTAGGTATCCAAAGAGATCTCTGATGCAGAAGGTGACCAGAGCGTTGAACACTGTGAGGAAGGGACACAGATGTCACTCACAGGAGAGCAAGTAAGCCAGCCTGACCCGCCCTGTAGACCCTGCTCACCAGTGCTGTCTGTAACCTGAAACCTGCAGGCCTCAACACCTTCCTGGTCTCCTTGGGTGGTAGCAACAGCTGCTCTGAATGCCTGCACCACTTCATGGAACAGCTTGGGAGTGAGGTGCTGAAGGAGCAAGAGACCAATAACTCTGGGGGAGCAGGAGGTTGCACAAGGCAGAGCAAGAGATAACTGTCTCCAAGAACCTGCTCCTGAGAGAAAAGAGACCCTTCCCCACAACCTCAGAAATAGGGCAGAGGTAGGGGCAGGGCCACTAAGCCGTGTTCTGGCAACTAAAATGGAGACAAGTCTATAATCCTCCCGGAAAGGGAATGAGCCCAGCTCAGGAGCCCCAGGGGAAAAGGCTGAGAGTCCTGAGTTGGAGGAGCAAGCTTGCTGTCTCACCAGCCATGTGATGATGCTGCACCATGCTGTTGTACTTCCCACCTCCAGAACTGTGAGCCAAGTAAACACCTTTTCTTTCTTTCTTCCTCTCTCCCTCCCTCCTTCCCTTCCCTCCCCTTGCTCTTTCTTTCTTTCTTTTTTTCCTAGTGCTGGGGGATTGAACCCAGAGTCCATACATGCTAGGCAGGCACTCTATGACTGAGCTACATTCCTAGGACTAAATATCTTTCCTTTACGAACTATCTGTTGGCATCCCACTATAAAGCAAGAGAAACTACACCAAGACACACCTAACAGATACACCCACAATGGCTTTACTTCAGGGAGCAGAGCCCCTGAGAGAAAAGCTGAACTATGACTGAAGAATCCCAACCAGGGCATCCTAGCACTCTACACATGTGGACATTGTGTGCTGCTCAGAGAAGGGCTCTTCCCACCTGTACAGCCATGAGCACCTCAATGAGACAAGGGAGAGACTCCTGCCTGTGGTGGGGTCCAGCTGCTCAGACCACACTCCTTCTTCTCACCTTTGCAGACTGCTTCCATTTCTCCACCATGGCAAGGGTCACGGGAACAGACTCATTCTTCTTCCGCTGAGGTCCTCCAGGGACTCTGTCCCCATCCTCTCCTCCGTCTTCTTCTTCGCTTGCTTCCTACACCAGACACAGAAGAGTCATGGTGGAGGAGGGTGTAGAAGCCACAGGTGCCCTGCTGGACAGGTCTGTGCTGTCCTCACCTCCAGTGCACCTGGCAAGGAGTGAAACTGCTCCTCTTCCTCCTCAGAGCTGTCTGAGTCACTAAAGTTGAGCAGGCTCTGGTCATTGTCTTGCAGGAACTTGTAGAATTCTGGATCTTTTTCTTTCAGACGAGAGAGCTGGTCCTTGTGCTCAGAGGCACTGCCTTTATGCCCACTGAGAAGGCAGGAGTCAGTAAGCCAGTGAAAAACCAGCAGGGGGTTGGCTTCTTGTCCACACAGCCACTTGTGGGCCTCCTCAGAGAGGCCACAGGGTTATTCTGCTCCCTGCACAGCAGCCATCAACAACAAGCAGGAGGTTTCCCACAATGTTAAGCTTTCAGAAAACACAACTCTCTTCTGGACTCCTGTACCCAGAAGCCTCTCCCCATTGTTTTAACCTCTAGCACACAGACACTCAACCTGTGCTCTCCCCAGACTTGCTGTGCTGGCACCATGCTCTGCTGCAGTCCCCACAAAAGACCTGTCCCTAGAACTCATCAACAACATCTTCAAAACCACCAAAGTCTCCTTGCAAACCACCACATCTCTCAACTCTCAATCACCATAATGGCCTCTCCATTCCCACCCTTGTCACCTATGATCCTTTTTGGCACAGAAACCGGAGTGACCTTTTCCCTTTTTTAAAAAAAATGTCACATGATGTTGCTTCACAGCTCTCGCTCTGAGGAAACTTCCCATTTTACTGGGTGATCTAACCTGATTCCTCATCACCCACCCTTCTGGGTGCATCTTCAACTACTTTCCCACTTCTCCTGCCAGTCACCCCTTCCTCATGGGTTCCCACTTCAAGACCTTCTCAGTTCCTGCTGTACTGTCCACACAGCCTACCCCTTCGGGCTGTCACTCAAAACTCAGGTGGTCGCCCTCCCAAGTTTGGCCACTTGGTATCCGCTCTGTTACTGTAGTGAGGACACTCGAGACTGACTCCAGGGCTCCTCAAGCGCTAGGTAAGCGCTCTTCTTCTGAGCTACATCCCCAACCCTTTCTGTTTTGAGACAGGGTACTGATAAACTGCCCAGGCTGGCCTCAAACTTGGGCTCTCCTGCCTCTGCCTTCCCAGTGGCTGGGTCTGCAGGCATGAGCCGGCCCGGCTCTCCGCTCAACGCTCCCTCCGGCCCCTCGCGTGGTTCCTTACCGGCCCCTGCGCGCTACAGGACCGCGCTTCGGTCCGCCCCACACCGAACTCTCCCGGGTCAGAAACGCAACTCTGCGTCACCCGCCAGCGCCCGCCCCTCCCGGAGGAAGGCTGGACCAGCAAGCCACCCAGGCGGCGCCGGCTTACCGGGCCGCGGGGCCCCTGCCGGGCTCCCGACGCCGCGCAGCTCCACGTCCGCTTGCCTCCCGCTCCCGCGTCGCCGCCTCCGGGGCGCCCTCGGACTCCGACTCTGACTCAGAGTCGAAGCCTGAGGCCAGGAATTCGTCCACCGTCAGCTCCGCCAGGCGCCTGCAGGTCACCGAGGGTCACAAGGCGCCAGCCCACTAGCCCCAGCCTTCGAAAGGGGTGAGGACAGCCCGGAGCCCAGGCTCCCGCAAGGAATACCGCAGAGACTTACCTCCTGCGGCTCCTGGCCTCCGCCATGACGCCGAGCCCGCCGCGTGCGCCGCACTTCCGGCCCCAGAAAGCCGTGCGCTACCGCACTACCTCCGGGTCGGCCCCGCCCCCGGCCGAGCCCCGCCCTGTCGCTGGCTCTGCGATTCTCGACTGCGTAGCCGGTGGCTTCCAGGCGGGAGGGCGCGTTCGCACCCTCATGGCCTCAGGTGGGTTCTGGCACGGGTCTGGCATTCATTCGCCCAACGCGGGCCGGGCCAGGTCAGAGCTCTGCGTCCTTCTCCGTGACACGCTGAAATAACAACTCCCACCTGGGGAATCGAGGCCCTGTCCGCGGCCCACCCGTGCGTGTGCCAGGCGCTGACAACAGACAAAACGTACGACAGTGGAGACTTCTGTACTAAGAACACACAAACCAATGACAAGCCAAGGGTCTAGTGGAGAAAACAATGAAAACAGAAACGGCCGGGATCCAGATAGACAGTCTGACAGGAATCAGAGCGTGCTGGGGGGCGGGACTGGCTTCGCCTGATGCGAGGTCGGAGCAAGAGCCCTGTGTCTATCTCGCTGGACGGTCAGCAGCACCATCCACATTCCGTGCAGCGAGGTCGCACGGAAAACGCACCCGAGTGTCTGGCCGGGGCGCCCGGGGCTGGGCGGAGAGGATGCATTCCTCCTTCCAGGCTGCGGGGTCCGCGGGCCTGGACGGCTGGACCAAACGGCCAGCGCACGGCCCAAGGCTTGACCCACCACAGCACAACCGGCAGGTGGCTGGCCATCTGGGACCCGGAGCTTGTCCGCCTGGGGCAGTACGCGGGGCCCGAGGGCTACGAGAGGAATCGATCCGGTGGCGCGACGCCGGGCTGACCCGTGTCCAACGCGGATCCTCGAAGCCTCCTCGGAGCGCGAGAGATGGGGCGGGCGGCGCCGAGAAACAGCGTCTGCAGCCGGGGAGGCGCGCGACGCTGAGGGGCCACCGCTGCCGAGCATCCTTCCAGCAGTCGCGCTCGCTCGTCCTGCGCGCTTCGCGGCGGCAGTTCGGTGGCTGAGCTGATGCAGCCGCGCGGCGAGCGCCCGGCCGGCAGGACGCAGAGCCCGGAGCACGGCAGCCCGGGGCCCGGGCCCGAGGCGCCGCCGCCGCCGCAGCCGCAGCCGCCGGCGTGAGTAGGGCGGAAAGCGGGCGGCGCCGAGGACCGACGGAGGGACCGGGGGACTCGGGAGGACGGCGTCGCCCGAGAGGCTGCCGCAGCCCTGGGCCGTGTGAAGTCCGAGCCCCTCGGTCCTTCGGCCACAGCAGCGGTTCTGGGAAGTCCTGAGTGCTGCGGGGGGGCCAGGGGTGCTGACCCCTGGAAAGAGAGGCCCTAAGCCCCTTGCCTGCCCTTGAATCCCTCCACAACGGGAGGTCCACCTGCTGTAAGGGGGGCCAAGGGGTCTGCTTTAAAGCAGGCATTGGCCGGTTCCCTGCGTACACCTCCCACATTCCCAGTGCTGCTGAGGGATGGGAAGGGTGGCTGGCAAGGCAGGAGCCCATTCCTTAGAAGGGTAGAGGATACCTGTCTCTCAAGGAGAACAAGAGATGGGTGAACTTAGTAGCTGAGAAGGGAGGTGGGCAGAGGAAGCTGGACAGTCAGGGCAGCAGTGTCCGGATGGCCCCCCAGGGGGAGTAGGCTTAGAAGAGAGTCTGGTCTGGCTCCAGGGTAGCTCCCTGTACAGGAGGGGAGGTCTTGCTCCAGGCGGGCAGCATTACTAGGTGGGCCTTGATGCAGACGTTATGGCCACTGGACTGCTGGACAGATGGCTGACTTGGCTGCCCTGGCCATACCCAGAAGTCTGGTGGCACAGAGGAGGTGGGTGAGCAGCCCCCCTACAGGGCTAACCCTGACCTGGCCCTGCCCACCTGCAGCCCAGAGGCAGAGCGAGCGCGGCCCAGGCAGGCCCGGCCCGCAGCCCCCATGGAAGGTGCCATGCAGCTACTGAGCCGCGAGGGCCACAGTGTGGCCCACAACTCCAAGCGGCACTACCATGATGCCTTCGTAGCCATGAGCCGAATGCGGCAGCGTGGCCTCCTGTGTGACATCGTCCTGCATGTGGCCGCCAAGGAGATCCGTGCACACAAGGTGGTGCTGGCCTCCTGTAGCCCCTACTTCCACGCCATGTTCACAAGCAAGTACCACAGTCTGGGTGGCACTTGGGGGCTCTCTGCAGCTCTCCCGGGACAGGTACCAGCCTGACTACTGTCCCCACAGATGAGATGAGTGAGAGCCGCCAGACTCATGTGACACTGCATGACATTGACCCTCAGGCCTTGGACCAACTGGTGCAGTTTGCGTACACCGCTGAGATTGTAGTAGGCGAGGGCAACGTACAGGTGAGGCAGTGTGCCTCCTGCCAGGTCTCCCCATGCCCTGGCCCCTCACAGGCCTCTCCCCAAACCCTCCAGTTACTTTCACAGCCTGGGCACCTCCCACCAGACCCCATCTCCATGTTCCACAGACGCTGCTCCCAGCTGCCAGCCTGCTGCAGCTGAACGGCGTCCGGGATGCCTGCTGCAAGTTCCTGCTGAGTCAGCTGGACCCCTCCAACTGCCTGGGCATCCGGGGCTTTGCCGATACGCACTCGTGCAGTGACCTGCTCAAGGCAGCACACAGGTATGTGCTGCAGCACTTTGTGGACGTGGCCAAGACCGAGGAGTTCATGCTGTTGCCGCTGAAGCAGGTAACCTGCCCACAGGGCCCAACCCACACCCTGCCCCTTCCCACCCCAGCACCCTCCTTCACCCCTTGCTCTTTGTTCCCCAGGCCTCGTTCCCAGCTTCTGACCCATGCCCACCCTGTGACCTGTCGCCTGGGCACCCCCAACCCTGTTCCCATCTCCTGGCTCTACCCAGGTCTTTGCCTTGGACTCTTCATCTCATCTCATCCTTAACAGCCTCTGCTCCTAAACCCCAGTCCTGGTTCCATGTCCCCAAGACTATTTGGGATCTAGGCCCCCAGGAACCAATCCACAGCTCCTGACCCTGCTGGGCCCCTTCCTGTAGAAACACTGACCCCACCACCACCTCCAGACCCTCCCTCCCAGGTACCTTCAGGGGGCTCCCTGGACTCGCAGGACCCTCCCCAGATCTCATGCCTGAGGACCCCTATCCCCAGGTGCTGGAATTGGTCTCTAGTGACAGCCTGAATGTACCTTCAGAAGAAGATGTCTACCGTGCTGTCCTGAGCTGGGTCAAACATGACGTGGACACTCGGAGGCAGCACGTTCCAAGAGTAAGGCCAGGCCTCGGGACCCCTGGTGGTGTTGGGGAGGGACCATGGTGGCTGAAGCCTAGGTGTGCCTCATGGAGTCCCTGGCCTCTCCCGTTCAGGGACACCATGGGGGCAGTGCAGGCATCTGTCTCAAGAACCCATCGTACAGGTGGTACAGGCATCTGAGCCAGGGTCTCAGCCCTGGGGCAAGTGTGCCTGAGGGTCCCCTGACCCTGGCACTCCTGCCCCAGCTGATGAAGTGTGTGCGGCTGCCCTTGCTGAGCCGCGACTTCCTGCTGGGCCACGTGGATGCTGAGAGCCTGGTGAGGCATCACCCTGACTGCAAGGATCTGCTCATTGAGGCCCTCAAGTTCCACCTGCTGCCCGAGCAGAGAGGTGTACTGGGTACCAGCCGCACACGGCCCCGGCGCTGTGAGGGTGCCGGCCCTGTGCTCTTTGCCGTGGGTATGCCCATCCGGCCCCTTCCTCTGACACCCCTGCCCTGGCCATACCCAACACAAGCCCAGCCCACCACATTGGTCAGGTCTTGACCTGCTCCCTCCTCCTCCATCCAGGGTCTCCCCAGGCCCTGTGGAGTGTGACCCACCCCCAGAGTCCCAACACTCTTGCTCTCAGGCTATGCTAGACTCCCACTGGTTACTCCCAGTGCCTCTCCTCCTATCCTGTCACCTCCCCTTTCCTAGGTGGCGGGAGTCTTTTTGCCATCCATGGGGACTGTGAAGCATATGACACTCGAACTGACCGCTGGCACGTAGTAGCTTCCATGTCCACACGCCGGGCCCGAGTGGGAGTGGCTGCTGTAGGAAACCGGCTGTATGCTGTGGGCGGGTAAGCATAGAGGCCAGGCTTGGGCCCGGGGCTTGGCACATGCCTGCTAGGCCTTCCTTGACCAGTAGTGGACCCCTCTCCTAGCTATGATGGGACCTCAGACCTGGCTACTGTGGAATCGTATGACCCTGTGACCAACACATGGCAACCTGAGGTGTCCATGGGCACGAGGCGCAGCTGCCTGGGTGTAGCTGCCCTGCATGGGCTCCTGTACGCAGCTGGCGGCTACGATGGGGCCTCCTGTCTCAACAGGTAGTAGCTGGGGTTGAGGCCCCCATGACCCTGCAGGGTGGCTCGGCAGCAGGAGGTGAGGCTGTACCAAGTTGTGTCTGATGGGGGATGATGGCAAGGGTACTGCCTGCCCAGGCCACCAGGGTCCCCAAAGCCTCTTTACCTCAGGCCAAGCAGTTCTTAGGCCTGGTCTGTCCCCATCCCTTTTCCTTCCTGGGGTCCTCTCCTCCAGTCTAGGGCTGGGCCCAAAGGGGACACTTGCCCAGGAATACCCAACCAGGCAGCAACCCATGCCCACCCCGCAGGTCCTGCTGTTGGCTATGGTAGGACTTGAGTCAGAGTCTTCGTGGTGGCCTCCTTGGGATTTCAGCTGTTCCATGGGGGAGGGCAGGTCCTAGGGCTGGACAACCTTTCTGTTGTGGCTACGGGTCAGCAGCAGTCTGGTGCCCACAGCGCTGAACGCTATGACCCCCTGACGGGAACATGGACATCCATCGCTGCCATGAGCACCCGGAGGCGATATGTGCGCGTGGCCACACTCGGTGGGTGAAAGGGCCTGCTTCCTGTGGTGCCCACCCTCCTACCTGCACCCCCCCACCCAGCAGGAGCACCAGGGTATATTGCCTTCCGCAGATGGGAACCTGTACGCTGTGGGTGGATATGACAGCTCTTCACACCTGGCCACTGTGGAGAAGTATGAGCCCCAGGTGCATAGTGCACCCCATGGCAGTCCCCCAGCCCACTGCTGCCTGGGGGTTCCACCCTCAGGCCAGCCATTCATATCCAGCCTATCTCACAGATATCCTGCCTGGGTTAGGGTTTGCTTAGGGGGATGGGTGGGGTGCCCTTGTTGTGTCAGCCTTCAGCTCAGGCCTCACCACCACAGGTGAATGCATGGACCCCGGTGGCCTCCATGCTGAGCCGGCGCAGCTCTGCAGGTGTGGCGGTGCTGGAGGGCGCCCTGTATGTGGCCGGGGGCAATGATGGCACCAGCTGCCTCAACTCAGTGGAGAGATACAGCCCCAAGGCCGGCGCCTGGGAGAGCGTGGCACCCATGAACATTCGCAGGTTTGCAGGCCAGGTTGGGCCGTTCTAGCCAATGCAGTAGATCAGCTCCACTGTCTCCACTCCACTGGGGACACCCAGCCCCCCCCCCTCCTGTGGCCCCGCCCCTGGCTCCTCCAGTGGATCTGCCCCCCCCCAGTGGCTCCTCCTGTGGTCCCACCCACACAACTCATTTGGCTGCCTATCCCCAGGAGCACACATGACCTGGTGGCCATGGACGGCTGGCTGTATGCTGTGGGCGGCAACGATGGCAGCTCCAGCCTCAACTCCATCGAGAAGTACAACCCAAGGACCAACAAGTGGGTAGCTGCCTCCTGCATGTTCACACGGCGCAGCAGTGTGGGCGTGGCCGTGCTGGAGCTGCTCAACTTTCCGCCACCGTCCTCGCCCACGCTGTCTGTGTCTTCCACCAGCCTCTGACACACAGCACCGACCACAGAGAGGCCCCGCGGCCTCCCACATGCCTTAAGCCCCTCGGGTCGACCCCAGCACCTCCCTCTCCTCAGCCATGTGTCAGGGGCTGGACGTGGCCCCACCAGAGACGTCCTGCACCGTCTCTCCACGTCTCTGTTCACTCCTTGTTCCTTTATGTGTGCTGTTTATTTATTTACTCACCTATTTATTAACTCATTACTTATTGATGGATGAGCACCGCTGCAGTTACCAATTCATATGTTTACTCTCAAAGCGTGGGCACTTGTGTGCACAGGGGACCAAGTTTCCCTGCGAGTGTCCTCCACCCAGTTCCTTGTTCCAGGCAGTGAGGGGTGATAGGGTGGCCACTCGCTGCAGGGAGGTCAGTGGCCCAATGGTACTTTATAGACCCTGGGTCAGGAGCAGCATAATAACCAGAGTTGGTGGAGCCAGAGCAGGGCAGGGATTTTTAAGCAGGTGCAGACAGGTAGTCTGAACTTTGCACACTGTCCTTACCTGGCCCAGCCAGGGCTGTCCCCAGGAAGGGCACGAAGCAGGCTCCCTTCCTGCATCCTGTGTCTGCAGTGTGGTGTCTTTTCTGGATCTCACATGGGGCTGGGGCACATGCACTCAGACCCTACTCAGCAATATGAGCCATCTTGAACAATAAACATGTTTTTTGGGCTCCCTGAGCCAGAGACTAAGCGTCCATCTCTGGCCCCTTTTAGCTCTTCTGCCTTGTGGAGGTGCAGCACAGCCTGGGGTCCTGTCTGGGCTCCAGTGTGAGGTTCTGTGGACAAGTGTGCAGCATGGCTGAAAGGGAGCATTAGTGCCTGGGGACGGCAAGGTGGCACTTTTGCAGGGAGAGGTAGGGGAGGTGGGCTACTAACCTGGTCCTGAGAATTCCCTGTGACATTCCAGGTTTGGGGGTTGGGATCACTTGTGGAGGATAAGGCCCTCCACGCTGCCATTACTGTCTGGGCACCTGGGAAATGTGTGACCTTCTTGCATTTAGTTAAGTCTTGGGGACAATGACTTATGGTTGGAGTGAGGGTTGGCCCCAGGCTTCTGGCTTCCCCCTTCCCCATGGTTGCAAACTCCTGCTTCTGTGGCTGAGGGTGAGCACTCTCTTGACAGCTCCTAGTGACTCAGACCAATTGGGATAAGCATAAAAACCGGATATGTGCTCAGGTTGGGGGGTGGGCAACTAGAAGGGAAGGTCACTGGATTCCTAGGCTTTAGTGCCCAGTCACCCCCAACCTGAACACAGGCAGGCGCGGTGCCCACAGAGCAGGCGCTACTGATCCTCCTGGGAGGCTGGAAGCTCTGGTCCCCATCCGAGGAGATGCCCTTTTCCTCTGCCCCAGAGCTGTGCAGAAGAACCCAGCCCGGGTCCATTGGGAGGCTGGGCTCAGGTGGAGCCAAGCCCCTCCCAGAAAGGCTCCTCCCCCCACCCCTGAGTAGGCGCGAAGCAGTCCCACAGCCCCGCCCACTCACGGGAGGCGGGGGCAGGATCCCGACCCCGGGACCCAGACCTGTCTACCGGCTCGGTCCAAGCCAGCCGCCGCTCGGACCCATGGGGAACAGCCACTGCGTCCCTCAGACCCCCAGGAGGCTGCGGGCCTCCTTCTCCAGGAAACCCTCGCTGAAGGGAAATAGGTGAGAGGGGCGGCCTCAGCCACCCGGGAACACGGTCTCCCTCGACCCGACCCAGGCCGAGCCCCAAACCCCCTTTCACTTGTCCCCAGAGAGGACACCTCGAGGAAGCTGGCGGGCCTGTTCGGCTCCGAGGCTGGCCCCGACGGGGACGCCGCGGCGGACAAGATCTTCTACTACATCCCTGGGACGGTGAGCCGAGGGCGTGTCCCGCCGGAGCGGCAGCTGCCCGCGGTGTTGAGGCATTGAGCGCCCGGCCGGTGTGGCAGGCCCCCATCTGTCGCCAGGCCTGGGGTCTGAGTGCAGCTCTGCGCTCGCTTCTGTGTCGTATGCCAGCGTGTGCGTCGCAGTTTTGCACAGCTAAGGGTCATCCCAGTCAGCTCAGGGGATTTAGATCCAAAGGGAGGTGAGGAAGTGGACACTGCCCCGCCCTGGGAAGCTCATCCGCCGAAAGTCTGGCCCAGAACGAAACCCAGACTGGGACTGAGTCAGTGGTGAGCCGTGCGCCTGGCCTTTGGGCGGGGCCTCTGAAGCTTCTCAGGGGTAGGCGGCGCCAGCTTAGGTCTCCAGCTCACCGGTTGCGTCTATGCTGCGGTTCTTTGGGTGATGTCGCTTGAGAAAGTAAAGGGTTTCAGGCGACAGAGAGCCAGCTGGTCACCTACTGCAGGCCTTAGTTTCTCCTTCAGGGTCTCGCAGGAAAGTGCTCCCAGATATCCACTGCCCACTGCAATCCTACCTATGCTGGTGCCTCCTGCCCCGGCACGGAAAGGAAGTGACCACGAAGCACTTGTTAGGCTACTTCTCCGGAAGGAACTGAGGGTGCCCTGTGGGACGGTGGACTGGCTGAGTAGAGGAGCCCTAGCCTCTTTCCCCAACAGCTGGCACCGGTTGGGGCAGAACCTAGACTGATGCTCCCTCCTGTGGGACCATGCCCGCGGATCTTCTGCTGGAAGTGGGGGCGCGGACTCTGGGCCAGGACTGAAGCAGCTGGCATGGGCTCCCAGAGCCTACCTTTCTCACTGTCCCACCAGGCTGGGACCCCGTGTCCTCCCCTGTCCCCTGTCTAAGGTCTCAGGGCTCTTGCGGTCAGCTGCTGGCTTCAGAAACTATGCTGCCTCAGAGAAGGGGCTACATCTCAGACCCTGACTCTCTCTGTTCAGCCCAGGATAGGCAGTGTGACCCTGGAGGGAGTCCCATGAGGCATGGTGTCCCTAGTGGTCCTCCCTTGGAAAAGGGTCAAGACCCCTTGAGCCTTGGGAGATAGGGGCCAGGGAGGGCCCTGGCCAGGCTTCCATCCCTACTGCAGTTCCTAGCTGTCCTTCCCGGGCCCCAAGGCTGACCTAGGCCACAGGACCAGTGGCCTAGCCCTTACGGATTCATGGCCTATTTTTTCGAGAGTGTCATCTGGAATCTTTTCCCACACTGGGTGTGGGTGCAGAAGGCCCCACCCAGAGGCAGAGAAGCCGGGGGAACTGTGATCTGTCTGTTCACATTCCTAGGCTTGCCCAAGGGGCAGCTTGGCTTGGCCAGGACACAGCAGCCCTGCAGGTGACCCAAATGTGACCCCCAACAGAATTTGCCCCTAGGCTAGTAGGTCACAGTCCTCTCCAGGCCCTTAGCACCTGACTCCTATCTGACCCTGGCTCTGATATCAAAGCCCCCATTCGTAGAGAACGAACTCCCTGCCAGGACTACCTAAGTGCTGTGTAGACATTGGCCCTTCTTCCTTCCCTTCAGCGTAATGCATTGCCCCCCCCCCCCCCCCCCCCCTCCCCGCGCGCTGTCAAGCCTGCCCCCCCCCCCCCCCCCTCCCCCTGATACATCTCCCCCCCCCCCCCCCCCCCCAGCACGTTCCAGGCCCTGGAGACTCAGCAGTGGCAGATAGACAGAAGGACTAAGTAGAAATAGAGTAAGTCAACTGTGGTCAGGCAGCTAACTAGAACAGGAAAGGCTGGAATTTTAGAAGAGTGTGCAGCCAGGGAGAAGGTAAGAGCTGAGCAAAGGCCTGAAGGCTGAGTGGCCCCAGCCAAGGGAACAGCCCGATTCAGACATGTGCCTGATTTGAGAGAAAGAGAGGGAGGAAGAGTGGAGGGGCAGGTCGCAGAGAACCCTTAGTCATTGCCGTTTTTGTGTGAGAGACTGAGGCCCACGCTCGGTATGCTAGGGCAACTAGCACTTGAGCACCCAGAACTCGTGTTGGTGTCCAAGCAGGCTGCAGTGGGAATATTCACACCAAGGAAATCGGTGGCTATGACAGAGCAGGGCTTGGGCTTTTGCTTTTTTTTTTGTCTGTTTTTGCTTATAGAATCAGGTATTAAGCATTTACCAGTTTATTGGTAAAAGGCAGGGTTTTATGCACTATCTCACCCAGACACCCAAAAACCTCCTTTGAAAAGTCTGGGGAGATTGAACAAACAAAGCAGAGCGGCAGAACCAGGAGGTGCTGAAGATGAGGGTTGACTCCACCGAGTCCCAACTTCTCTGTCACTGCTACCAGGTAGCATGGACTGGGGAGCTGTGTTGTGCGCATGTTGTGTATTCTGCCACCATTCCTTGTATTCAGGCTGTGTGCATCTGCCTATGTGTGTTGTGTGGCCTGGCATGGACAGGTCAGGCCTATATGGGTGGCTGAGTAATGGGTTGGGGTTGCTGGCCCTATCTGGCCACTCCCCAAGCCCTACTCCCCTAGGACTTTCCAGGCCTGGAGAATCAGCCGGAGAACTTGGAGCAGCCCATCCTGAGTGTGTTCAAGAAGGGGCGGCGGAAGGTGCCCGTGAGGAACCTGGGCAAGGTGGTACACTATGCCAAGGTCCAGCTGCGGTTCCAGCACAGCCAGGTGGGGGCTGGGGGGCATGCTCAGGGACCCATACCCCACCATCCTGTCTGCCCCAGTCCCTCAGATGGGCATCTGCTCTCCCCAGGATACCAGTGACTGCTACCTGGAGCTGTTCCCTTCCCACCTCTACTTCCAGGCTCACAGTTCTGCAGGACTCACATTCCAGGTAAGGGGCCTGGGCAAGGGTGGGGGAAAGGCCCCTGAGAGTTCCTGCAGCTGCTACTACCTGTTCTCTGGCAGGGGCTGTTGCCGCTGGTGGAGTTGAGCATCTGCCCCCTCGAGGAGACTGGAGAGCATGGCTTCCAGATCACAGGTATGTGGAGGACACTGGCCTCCTAGAAGGTGCCTCCCAGCCAGGGCCATGGATCAATCTGCACAGATCCCTTGGAGAGGGGCCTGTGCTTGGACTCTGGGGCTCCAAGCTTGGGCCCACCTCAGCCCACACTGCTCCTCCACCCCCAGGCCCACTGCCCGCCCCACTCCTCGTTCTCTGCCCCAGTGAAGATGAGCTCTGCTGCTGGCTCTACCACTTGGAAAAGCAGATGGCCCTTGTCGGGGGACTGCGGCGCTGCCACTCTGTGCCCCCGCAGGTCAGTGTCAGGAGCCTGCAAGCCCCTCCCCCCTCTTTCCCTGCCAGCCTACCCTGATGGCCTCCTCCACAGGGCCCCTCAGGGGATGAGCTCCCCTGGTCCCTGCAGCGCCGTCTGACCTGGCTGCGGAGGGCATCTGGGCGCGAACCTGTGGGCAGTGCCATCTGTGCCTCAAGGGTCAAGCTGCAGCACCTGCCTTCACAGGTGGAGAGGATGTGGGGAGGGGATAGGGGAGGTGGGGCAGCCCCTGGCGCCCAGCCCTACCCATGCTGTCTTTTGACCCCTTGCAGGAGCAGTGGGATCGGCTCCTGGTCCTGTACCCCACATCCCTGGCCATCTTCTCTGAGGAACCAGATGGGATTGCCTTTAAGGTGGGCCCTCCCCAGGGTGGACCTGCCCAGGGAGGCATGCTGTGTGGAGTGGGGGCGGCAACTCGGGGAGAACCTGTATATCAAGGCCTGTTGGGACAGAGCACAGGGCTCCACCCATCTGGCTCACTGCCTGGTCAGTCTGATCTCAGCTCTGAGGTGAAAGAGTTCCTCCCTGGAGCACCTTCCTCATCCTGAAGGGCCCTCAGCCACCAGCCAGATCATCGCCCTTGGGCAGGTGGCATGAGGTGGGACCACTCCTGGGAGTCATTGGTATGTGCTCCTGCTGCCTGATGGGTGTGTGCATACATGCCAGTGAGCATGTCCCTGGTGTATACTTGGGAGACACGCAGGGGCTTCCCTGCCTGGGGGTCAGTCCCCATCTGCTATGTGAGTTGGTGAGCAGACCTGGGTGATGATGTCCCCAGGAGAGACTTTAGCTGCCCTACTTCCTCAGGGAACTGGCCTTGGTGCTGGACTGTCTGGGTGCCCAGCCCAGCTCTGGAAGACTGGGGGATGGGGCCAGGCAGGGGCTGGAGCTGCTCCCAGGAAGGCATAGGCCTCACTCACTGCCCACAGGGGGAGCTGCCACTCACTGCCATCCACATCAACCTGGAAGAGAAGCAGACCCGCTCATTCCTGATCTCAGGTCCGTTCTGACCCAGACTCTGCCCCTGCCTTGGGGCCAGGGGGAACGGGAGTGAGCCTGGTGGACAGCCCAGCTCTTGATGGGGACTCTGTGGGGTACACCTGTGCTGCCAGGCCCCACCTCATGGAGTCTGTGTACAGGCCGACTCATCCATACCATCCGGGTGGTGTGTGCCAGTCATGAAGATCACCGCCACTGGCTGCTCTGCCTCCAGAGGATTTCCAGACAGGATGGGGACCCCCTGCTGCTCAACCCTGAGAGCTTCCCAGGCCTGCAGGGGCCCACACAGGTGAGGGGCAGCAGAAGTACCTTGGCTCAGGCCCTGGGGATAGAGGGGTGGGTCCAGACATGGGTGGGTGGGGAGAGGGATTGGCCACCCAGCTCATCCCCTGACTGCCCAGGTCACAGGTGGTGTCCGAGGCTCACTTTCCTCTGATGGACGGACCAGCTGGGATTCAGGGTGCCCAGCGCCCCCCTCCAACCGCACCAGCCACTCCCTCCCTGAGTCCTCAGTGCTGTCCCCTGCAGGCTGCCCTGCTCCTGCCCAGCCTGCACCTGTGAGTACCTGGGGGAATGGCTGAGGAAGAGGGTAGGAGGCAGGAGGCTTCTGTGTGCCTGGGAGACTGGTTCCCACGCCTCGTCAGCCTGAGCCTGGACCCTGGTTCCTGGGTTGGGGGGACTTAGACTGGAGGGAGTGCCATGGGGCCTCAGAGAATTGAGTGGGAAGGGCCAAGAGAACTTTCTGGAAGGTTTTGGTCCCCCACAGGGCCAGCCCGATTCTGAATCTGACTGTGCCAGCATCGGCCCACGGAGAGCAGATCTGAGGCGCAGCAGCCGGTCCAGGGGCCAGGTCCGAGGGGAGCTGCCTGGTCCTGCCGTACCACCACACATGCATCTGGACCTGACCAAGGTGGCCCAGCCCTGCGGGGTGGCTTTCCCTCCTGCCCTGCCTCCCTGGCCTGGTCTCTCAGCCTGGCTGGGCCTGCAGCTCCCAAGGCCTTGCATGCAGATAGAGGTTCTGCTACTTCTAACTCAAGGACTGTCTCTTCCACACCTTCGTTCAGGTGGGCAGGCTGGGCCTGGGGTGTGGCCCAGAGGCCCCAGAGCAGCCCCCGGAGGCACCACACTCCCCGCTGTATGCTGATCCCTACACCCCACCTGCCACTTCCCATCGCAGGATCGCAGGCATCAGGGGCCTGGATGAGGTCAGTTGCCTGCTGGTGACAGGGCTGAATGTGCCACAGCCTGCAGTCAGGGAGATGCCAAAACCTGAGGTTTGCTCAGGCTATGATGGGAGGCTCAGGGGGGTGCCTGGGGCAGGAATCCCTGTGCTCCCTGGTGGCCCTCACCCAGGGCCTCACGTTACCCACATTCTCCTGGCAGTTCCTCAGTGCAGTACGAAGCTCACCTGGACCAGAGCCTTCCAGCCCATTCCCCTTGGTCCCTGTGTCTGTGCCTGTCTCTGATCCCTGCTCTGGACTCTCCAGCTCTCCTGGCCCCCCAGCTCCCCATTTGGTCTCCAAGAAAGGAGCCCTGCAGTCCCGAGCTTCTCGGAGACACCGGGGTTCCATCAAGGACCGGGGTCCACAGCCCCCGGATTCCCCTCAGCTTGTGAGTAGCAGCCCCCACTGTGGGAGGAGGAGTGAGGAGGCCCAGTCCCTGGGCCCAAGGGTGCTGGGCAGACCTAGAACTTCGAGGGAGCAGGAGAGAGAGAAATAGGAGAATGTGGGGCCAGCAGGACCAGGAGACAATGATGGCAGGGTCGTGGCAGGTTCTAGGCTGATCTTTATGCTCCCTTCCCGGGGATCTGCCCTGCTCTCAGACTTGTGGTTTGGGGTTCCCAGGTCTCCCCTGCCAGGGAAGTGTCACCTAGCCCTCTGCCACCTCCCTCAGGTGAGTGGGGTTCCTGCCTCCCTGGGGGTAAGTACGAACCAGGATGTAGCTTCCTGCAGGCTGATGGGTCTCTGCCCTCCCTACCAGATGGTGACAAGACTTCATCTTCCTCCCACCAGAAATGGCCACGGCTCAGAAGGCTGGAGGCAGAGGGGGGGCTCATCCAGTGGATCTGATGGCCCCTGGCCAGGGCTACTTGTCAGAACCACATTTGTCCAGTTCTGACCCTGGAGAGGGATCTGCAGTCACCTAATCTTTTGACCCATGTCAAATCCCCAGCGTGGGTCTGACCCCAGCAAGTCCAAGGAGTGTCCAGGACCTGAGGGCAGATGGGTAGCAGCTGGAATAGCTAAGAATAGGTGCCTCATCCCTGGGGACACCCTGGCTGTGTGGCTGACCACAACCCAGCAAGGGTCTTCAGGGAGGTGCTGAACATCTGCAGATGCCATCTGCAGCTCTGCCCTCAGGGAGGGAACTTAACCTGGAAGTTGGGGGCCACATGGATGTGCAGGACAGAGGGCTAAGTCAGGTTGGCAGAGTCTGAGTGTGTGAGGTTGGAGCATGAGGTTCCTAGGTCTCAAGGTGTGAACCAGCACAGGCAGGGGTGGGACGGTCAGTGCTTGGGTGTATGGATGGGGCTAGTCAGACACTGATGCCATAAACAAGGAAGAGAGAGGAGATTTTATTGGTGCTACCTGTGTCCTCCACCAAGGAACCAGGAATCTCCCAGCATCCTGAAGACCCTGTGCACACTGCCCTGGGCAGACCCCCTGCCACTGCTCTGCCACCTCCGGCCCCACTCACCTTCCCACCCCATCTCTGACTCTCCCAGCCTTGACCTCCACAGCAGCTGACCCATGGGAGCAGGGACAAGTCCAAGCCAAGTCCTCATGGGTGAGGCCACCAGGTTGTGCCTGAATCCTCATCCAGGTCTCCTCAGAGGAGCCAAGGTCCTGCCCCATAGACTCCCCACCACAGGGGCTGCAGCAACCACTGGAGGTGTCTGGGCATCTGCCCAGGTCTACCCACCACCACTACCTTGACCACGTCCTTTGGGGCTCAGGGTTCAAGAGGCTCTTGTGAGCAGGGCAGATGCCCCAGAACATGCCCCTAGCTCCTATGGCCCCTAGCATCCCTGTCCTGACCCCACCCAAACCCAGCACTGCCTTGCCCCTCTCTGCCACTCCTAATTCCAGTATCTTCTCCTGCCACTTCCCCCCAACCTATAACCAGATGAAACACAGTGCCCAGTTAAGTTAGATTTCAGATCATCAACAATAATTTCTTAGTGTAAATTTATCCCAAATATTGCATGTCTGAAATTCAAATTTAACTGGATGCCCTGTGCTTTTCATTTGCTAATTCAATACCCTATTAACTAGTTCCCTGCTCAGTCCCTACCCACCCAGATTTCCAAATTTCCTTCCTCCAAGGGGAGGGGAGCGGCCTCAGCCCCTGGCTGGGCCTCAGGTGGAGTCCAAGGGAGCCAGCCCCACAGACACTGGCTCCCTCCTGGACGCCCTGGAAGACAGGGGTCAGAGGGCAAGGAGGAGGGCAGCACCTCCTGGCACCATGCTTGTCTCCTGTCCTGCGTCTTCGTGGTCCAGGTCTGGCTGCTAGGAGGTGGGACTTGGGCTGCGGCTACAGCTGCGGCTGGGACTGCGCCCTCGCCTCACACGCCTGCGGAAGTAGCGGATGGCAGAGATGGTGCCAATGTTGGCCAGCAAGACTGAAAGAGAAGCACAAGGTCTCCTGGTGCCGGCTCCTGCCAGTCATCCCCTTCTGGCCACATGACTCAGTCCTCAGAGGGCAGGACAAGGCCAGCGGGACAGAGCAATGGGGTGGAAGCCGGTCAGCAGGGGAGAAGCAGAGTTGGGGAGAAACCTGTGCCTCCAGCGCACACCTCCTCCCTGGGTGCACACCTCCTCCCTAGGGGCCCAGGTGAGGCTGAACAAGGAAGCCCCTCCTTGTGACTCCTAGGCACAAGCTCCCTCTGCCCCCAGAGCCCCACACCTGTTTTCCAAGCGTCCGGGGTATGTAGATCTGATGTTCTCACAGCCCAGGTGGCAAAAGCCACAAACACCAGACACATGTCATTCTGACTGAAGGGAGAGGAGGCCAGGGGACTGCAGAGCTCCCCTAGGAGAGAGAAGTACACCAGAGCTTGACTGCTGCACCCCGAGACGCGCCTGCCAGGACACGTCCACCCTGACACATGTGCCCTGAACACATCTGCCCTGGGCACGCCTGCCAGGACATGTCCACCCTGGGACATGTGTACCCTAGACCCACCAGTCCTAAGAATCACCTGTGCTGCCATCACCTGCCTCACCAAGGCCCAAGTAAGAGCACCCCCAGCACCTATCCTGCTAGAGGCGATTTAGAGACGGGCTTTCCCGGCATTTGGGCCTGGACTCAGGTCAAACCCCTGAATGGCCATGGTGCCTGGCCTCAGCCGCCCCATGTGGACTATGTCCTGGGATTCCTGGAGCTTGCCCTTACCTCCCAACAGGTTCCCAAGGCCCCCCCACCCAGAGGCTGATGACCCAAGATCATGCTCCATCCCCACCCCCATAGCCCTTCTGGCTGGGCTCCCTGGACAGTGTGTTCCCAGACCTGGATGGACTTAGGGCCTAAGCAGAACGTACCTGCCCGCCTGACTGCCAGGCTGAGTTGTTCCACTGTGGCTGGGCTGGGCTCAGGCGAGATCCTGGGCCCCGCTTCCCTGGGGTGCTCTGAGGCCCGCAGCTGGAGAAGGGATGGCAGCACACCCCCAAACCCATCCTCCTCAAGGAAGTGTTCGTAGGCCTCAGGGATAGAAATGGGCACCAGGTCACCAGGGGGTGCCACTGGCACAGCCTCGACCCTCGGGGGCGGGGCTGCAGCTGGGGAACAGCACCCCTGATGCTGGGGCATCTGGCCCTGGAAATCCCGGAAGAAGAACTCGCATGTGTCCGGCCACTGGACTTCGCCTAGGGCCTGGCTGGCTCCCTCCTCTGCCACACTTTCGTCCTCCTCCTCAATGGTGTCACAGAAGAAGAACTCATAGGCCTCGGGGAGGGTCACTGCAAAGCTGCTGCCCAGCCCAGGCCTCACTGAGGCAGAAGGAGCAGGGGGCGGCAGGTGCTTGAGGATCCGCGGCTGGGGGGGCCGGGGCCCGACTGCCACAGCGTTCCAGGCTGCAGACCCCTCATGGCCCCCCATTGCCATTCTGAGGGCTGAGGGCCGGGGTGTGACTGGTGAGGGTGGGCCCTCGGCCCCTGCTGACCTTGGCTTCTCCTCCGGTCTGGGCACTGCCGTAGAAAATCGTACCTTCTTCCTCTTGGGAGCCTGCATGGGGCCCTGCAGGGGCTGGCCCTCAGGGGGTCCTGGGGTCCCTTCAGAGGGCTGCTCTCTGGGCTTCTCTTGGGGTCCCCCAGGAGGAACAATCACCTCTGTCCCCACAGTGTCAGACCCTGCTTGGGGGACAGGGGCCCAGGAGGGCTCAGCAGCACTGTCTCTGGGGGCAGGTGTGGATACAGGTGCTTCAGACTCAGCCTTGGAAACAGAGTGCGGCAGAGCTGTGCACGGCAGGGCCACAGAGACAAGAGTAGAGGAATCCACCGCTGCTGCATGCAGGTCCACACACACTCTTGGTGTGGAGACAGGTGTAGATCCAATCTGGACACGCTGAGGCTCAGAGGCAGATGTAGACATGGCCGTGTCAGGTTGAGGCTTAGAGGCAGGTGTAGATAAAGCCTCATCAGGTTGGAGTTTGGAGACAGGTGTAGACAAATCCATGTTGGGTAGACTTTCAGAGGGAGATGTAGATGAAGCCATGTTGGGTTGCGGCTTGCATGCAGGTGTAGACAAAGTCACATCAGAGTGAGGTTTAGAGGCAGGCACAGACAAAGCCACATTGGGTTGAGACTCAGAGGCAGGCATAGACAGACCCACGTTGGGTGGAGGCTCAGAGGCAGGTGTAGATGAAGCCATGTCAGACTGAGGTTTGGAGGCAGGTGCAGAGAAAGCCACATCAGGTTGAGGCTCAGAGTCAAGCATACACAGATTCATGTTGGGTTGAATCTTGCAAGCAGGTATAGACAGACCCATGTCAATTTGAGGCTTGGAGGCAGGTGTAGACAGAGCCACATCTGGCTTAGCCAGGGAGACATTTGGATGAGTTTCCTGAACAGATATGGATACCGTGTGTAGCTCAGCTCTAGGAGTTATTCTGATCTGGTCTGTACCTTGCTCAGTGACAGGCACAGGTGTACACAGACCCCAGCCTGGCCCTGGACTGGCAGCATGCTCAGGGGGACGAACACTCAGCTCCGGAGCACCTGCAGAGTCTGGCTCCAGTGTGTCCTGCTGGGCTCCTGCTGTCAGCTTTGCTGCCCCAGCCACAAACCCCTTGCCCCTGGACCCAGCCAGGCCAGTGCCCTCCTCAGGCCTGGTCTCAGTGGGCAGCAGGGAGCCCAGATGGGCAACAGCAGGGCCTGGGGCTCCTGAGCGCCCTCCCCCCTTTGCACCCACAGTACGTCTCTTCTTGCGCCCAGGGCTCCGTGCTGGGGCTCCAGGGCTGTCGGGGGGTTTCTGGGAGGTGGGGCTGAAGCCAGGAGACTCAGGACTCCGAGGGGGCTCACCAGGGGGGCTGGGGGCCGGGCTCTGCAGGAGCCTCTGCATCTCCTCTCTGGAAGCTGCTGACCGTGAGAGGACTGAGCACTGACCGGGACGGGCAGCACCTGAGCCAAGGGACAGAAGAGCTTCTGACTGTGCGGACGTGCCGGCTGCCTGCTGACCAGGTCCCAGAGCCAGGACAGGCTCACCCTGAGACCTTCTGACCAGCTGTCCTGTGGCCACGGCGTCCTCCTCTTCACAGCTCTGACAGTCCCTCCTCCTGGGAGCAAGCTGCCCAGTAAGAAGGGGTGGGGGCCCAGGGGGGCTGCTGCCACTGCTGTCCCCTTGGTCAATGTCACTGGACAAGAGCTCATCTCCAGAGGCTAGGCCAGCCTGCAGGAGACCACACTCATCAGCAGTGGCAGAGAACTCAGCCCAGTCCCGGTCACTGAGCTGGACGCTGTACTGGAAGTTGTCCATCATGGGTCAACAGAGGTGCTGGAGAGGCAGCAGAGCGTGGGGCCGGGTGGAGTCTTTACAGGCCCAGGCTCTGGGCACCAACCTGCTCACCTGCTACCACCCCCCCCCAGGGGTGCCCCCATCTCCCTGGTGCACCATCTCCACCCTGAAAGAGAGCAAAACCCTTTCTTCTGAATGAAAAAAATCCTTGGCTCCCACTTGCCTTGTCTCCTAATCATCTCTAAATGGTAACTTTATCACACCACACTGCCACCGTCCTGCAATCAAACAGGACCCTGGACTAGCGGGTAAACCAGCTTTCATGGCATTTGCCTTCCCACCCCCCCAGCAGCCCTGGGCCTCTCTGACCTCCTGACTGCCTCTGCTCCCTTAGAGCAGACTGCACCAGGACAACCCGCCAGGGATCAGGGCCCCTGGAGATGGTCAGCCCTGGGCGGTCCCAGCATGCTCTAGTTGGCAGCAGGTCATAGACTGGAGGCTGCAGTGTCCAGGAGGTGACCAGCCTGGGGCAATGACCTTCACCAGCTTTGGCTGGGACCAGATTCCTCTGAGCTCACCAAGGTCAGAGCTGGTTCAGGGGTCAGCAGGAAAAGCTTGGGCTGGATGTTACAGAGCAGAGCTGAGTCCCTGACCCCTAATGGCCCCCTCACGTTATCCTCAGGATCTGCACCCCTGGCTGAGTTCACCTGAGCTGGTGAGAGCCAGCCTCTGCCTCCAGGGGGGCTGCTCCTTAGGCTCTTGGTGAGACACTGCCAGACCCAGAGGAAAGGAGGTCACTGGCTGGGACAGTCCTGAGCCAAAGCTGTCTGGAGACCAGAGTACGGTGGCTTTCTGCCCACTGACTCGAGCCCTCCTCTCTGGCCTGGGGGCTATCTGCTAATGGGAGCCTTGGACAGGAGTGTGGGGCTGATCACATCCTACCTGGTCTAGGCAGCCAGCCGGGCAGTGGAACTGGGAGTTCACACAGCCCGTTCCAGGGCAGCATGGTGCTATGCTCTCCCTGCAGGCTCCACCCCTACTGCCCAAAATACCTCGTCCCTGTGCACACATGACCCGTGCCACTCAGGGCTCAGGCCACAAATAGATGGCATTTGAGGAGCCTTCAGTTACGTGATGGACGTCGTCCTGGTGCAGATCCAGGCCCAGAGTTGGTGCCAGCCAAGGTCACAGCAGACTCTGGCCAGAGAATGCTGACCAGTGACCAGCCCTGCACAGGCCTCCCGTTCCCAGGCAGGAGGCTGCCTGCACTTCCATCTTGCCACGAGCCTCAGGCCCATGTGTACCCTGCCCCCAGAGTGTCTCCCGCCCAGCTTTTCAGATGAACCCTCACCCACCCAGGGCAGGACTGTGCCTCCCTGGCCTACCTCCTGGGATCAGTCTCCCCCGAGGCATTGTTGAAGCTGATGGTGGACTGGAGAGCAGGTGGGGGCATTCTTTGCTCTCTCTGGAGGCCTCCCATAATGGGCCTCAGAGAAGGGCTGGGAGGGCTGGGGGTACAAAGTGGTTTCATTCCTGACTCAATTCTTGTGGACAGACCCAGGATGGGGTGGCCTTTTCCTCAGGAAGAGTCTGGCAGGGCGATACAGAATCTTTGCAAGCCCCTGAACACTTCTCTGAAACTCATCCATTCTGAGAGGGGAATCAGGATGACCCTTATTCCTGAAGGTTATGAGGCACAGAGAGGGTGAGTAATGTGCACACAGCCACAAAGTCGGTGGCAGAGCTGGGTCACATGACCCTGTCCTTAGCCCTGCTTCAGCTGCAGCGCGGGGGCACCCTCCAGGTCCTCTAGGGCAGGATTGGTGGCCATTCTCAGGCCCCGAGTCAGAGGACAAGAGGAAAGCAGGGGAGCCAGACAACATGCGTCTGAACAGACAGGGAGCAAGCTCGTGCACAAGCAGCGTGTTCCAGGAGATGGAGCAGGAGCAGAGCGCCCAGAGGGGCCCAAGGCCTCGATGAGCCAAGAGGCTGCAGGGTCCGGAGGAAGCTGATGGCAGGCCAGGTGGAGGGTTGGCTCTTTGATCTGAGTGTGTGCGCCTGCAGGAGGTGCTGGGAAGTGGGTGGCAAGGCAGACCTCTGCAGAAGGGTGTGGCACTGATCAGGCACACCTGGGTGGGCAGCCCACCTGCTTTTATCCCTAATGTAGTGCTGTACCCTTGCACTGATAGGAGTGCCTTGGGGTTACAATCTATGCAACTAGTTACTTTTGACATTGGGGTAGTCGAGGAGGGCTGTGGTTAAAAATGGCTACAATTGGGTCTCTACATCCCAGTTGAAACTAAATACTATATTCCGAAAATGGACCTCAAACTTTCTGCCTCTCACCAGCTGCCTGGGGCAGGCCAGCCCAGCCTGGCTGGAGCTGTGAGAGGAGCCCTACCCCACTGAGCTTGGAATCTGCTCCCCAACTCCAGGCTGCTCCTGGTTCAGGAGGCAGCCATGCCAGAAGGGGCTGCAGTGGAGCACCCAGCGAGGGCTGGCCACATGCACATGTGCCGCGTGGCTGTCTGCCTGTGGGTGAGGCGTCCCGGCTGGCGGCTGTGCAGGCATGACTGCTGTGAACATTCTGGAGCTTTTTCAGGAGCCCTGGGTGAGCTGTAGAAGGTTCTGCCCAGGGAGTCCCCAAGCAGTGTGCCGACACATCCCCCAATCACAGGGCAGGGGCTCTGCGGCCTCCTTGGGGCATCTGTCTCTGCAACGCCATCAAGTTACTGTGAGGGTCAAACTTCATCACTGCTGCTGTGCGGACGTGCTTCTGTGGTACGCCCATACCACTCTGTGCCTGTGTGGGTTTGCAGTGTCTTCTGTTCCACCTTCTTTGTGCTGGGTGCTGGGATGGAAGCCAGGGCCGGCAATGTGGGGCAAACATCATTGAGCCACATCCTCAGCCCAATTAAGCATGACTTTTGATGAACAGAAGTTTTTAATTTAACATAGTACTTTTGCCAACAATTGTTGCTCAGTACTTTTTCATTGTTTTTTTTTTAAGTAATATCTTTATTTCATTTTTTTTGATGGTTTAGCATCCACTTTATTGTGCTTACTTATTTGTGTAATGAACAAGCAACACATACCACATCTTTCCAACATTCAAGGTAATGCAATAATAACATAAAAGGCTCCAAATAAAATAACTGGAAATTGCATTCAATACTGCTTTAATTAGATATAACTGCTATAGTAAAACAAATAACATTATACAGTATTTTTTCAATGAGTTTCTGTTTGAAAACTGAACAATAGAAATCAATCTCAAGATTTGAATCATGGCAAAACTGGCAGTTCTTTGAAATCTGGGAAATGCATCAGCATAACCACAGACACAGTCTATCCCTCACCTGGAAAAAAGCCATTTATTAATTTGGGGGAATAAGACTGAACATTCACTAATACAAACTCGTTGAAGTCTAAAGCCACCTGGAAAATTGCCCCAAGGAATGAATAGATTTCATGGTACTGGTGGCAAGTAAGAAATAAATAAAACTTTGCATTGGGCTGACCAATTGCATATTTTATAATCACTTTGAATAAAAAAATGTGAAATGCTTCATTGTGTTTTCTCAGAAACGAATCCAAAGATTACAGAATCCTACACAATTTAAAGACACAAAGTGGATGCTGAGCGACTAGAGGTCACTCCAGGTGTGGAATTTTAGAAAGTTAGTCCTTGGAGTAAATGGCACCGTGGCTCTGGCAGCAGATACAAAGGAATGATGCTCTGGAGAGGAGGTAGGGACACTCTGTGATCAGCCAGTGGGTAGATGAGGGTCCCAGCTGGATGTGGGATCTTTAATTTTATGGTTAATCTTCCACTGCTCATGCCTCTGTCTTCATAAATGGTCATTTCAATAACTCGAAGTCCTCTCTCAATAGGGTCTGTCAGGAGGAGACCTTGGGGAGCATCTATCTTCTCATTCTGTTCTTGAATAGACTTGGAGACTTTCTTCAGAACCTTCTCACAATGAGTTTCCATACATGAGAAAACGGTATATGCTGCTAAACAAGCCAAACAGCCTTCGAGATATGAAGGGCCCCCAAGCTTCTGGGCTTCTGCATAAAGGTTATTTAGAGTTCGAACTGTCTCTTCAAACCGCTGCCTATCAATCCGGTTCTCCAGCTCCGCGGGGAACTGGGTCTGGAAGGGCAGCGCGTACCACGGCTGCAGTGAATGAATACCTTCCCGGGCGCCGGCGCCTGCTGCGGCCGCGCTGCGAGGTCCGGGGTGGGGGGGGGGGGGGCACCATGGGTCAGATCCCCGGCCTGGACCCGGACTCTGGCCCGCCTGCCCTTGGGACCCACCCACCACCCAAAGAAGCCCAAGGCCTCCCCTCTCCGCTCCCCTTCACCCAGGCTGTCGCAGCGGGCTTTCAGCTACCGCCCCTGCCCAGGCCCCGCGCCCCCACATCCCGGTTCCCCGGGAGTCACCAACCCGCCTCTCCTGCCCTCCAGCTGCTGTCCTATTTCATTTTTTTAATATGGTGCTGAGGTTTGAACCTAGTGCCTCACGCGTGCTAGGCCAGCGCTCTACCACTGAGCTACAACCCTAGCTCCACTTCTTCATTTTTTAAAGAACTCTTTGCCTGCCCCCAAACCACAAGAATATTCTTGCTTTTACACAGATCTTCATCGCTTTATCTTCCACACTTGGATCTGCAGCTGCCTGGCACTGGTTTTCCTGGGTCATGGCATACTGTTTCATGCCCATATGGCCCTGGGGCCCAGTACCACGTCCTGCAGGGCAGGGCAGTGGCATTTGGTCACGTCTCAGAGGCACCACGTGTGTGTGAAGGAGCACACAACCAAGTCGCACACGGCCCACAGGGAGATGAAAAGACTGCAGGGATCTTGGGGCAGGAGATGGCAGGATCTATCCAGGCTTTTAGATAACTACCCCCCCCCCCGCCGTCCCTTGGAGAGGGAACACAGAGCCCCAGGGAGGCAGGAGGCCCTCCAAGCTGGGGAGGCGAGCTGTGGGCAGGGCTGGAGGAGAGAGGGTTAGCAGGTTTGATGAGGACAAACCTCATGGGTCAGGTGGAGCTGACCGAGCCTTCAGAAGAAAGCCCTTCCTTCATTCCCCTGCCCTGTGAACCTTCCTGGTGGTGGCCTGCCTCAACACAGGGAGGAAGAATAGGCCACG